TCTTGGTACCCCGCGAGACGGTCGAGCCGGTATAATTTTCTATGGCGTCGATACCATGAGTGGCTGGTGGCAAACTTTTATGGAGATTTTTCTACGGTCTCCAACCCTCCTCATTTCTCAGTCGGGTTGAGACCGGCAACGGCGGAGTTGCCCAAAGTTAATAAACTGTTGGTTTCGAAGTTATGACGTACAGAAGCCAATTTTTCGATGTGCACATGAAAACGCCATTGAATTAGAATTTTTCTATGTCTATTTTTAAAATTTTTGCCGGCTTATTCAGTAATGGTGCATAATAATGAATAATTAATGTAACGCAATAGGAAACTTGTCAGACATGAGTTTGGCAGTTAACTATTGTTTTTCCATCCAATTGTGATATTGCGTGAGGTCATTAATTCACGGCGTTGTATTGTGTTCGCCAGTGCATGTGCCTCACCTATGAATGATGTTCTAGTCTTCAGAGCCTACTCTTCAGAAAGCAAGCCTTTCGAAGAGGTTGCTGCTGCTACTCAATAAGCAGTATCTGACGTGAAGGTCAGGTCTCTGTTGCCATAGTTCTTGTCGTCGACGTTCTCGTGAAGCGAAAAGTCTCATTTTTTTGCCAGTCAGAATAGAAACGAGGTCATGAATATTATTTGGCGTATTAATGACATTAATACTGATATAAAGCCATATTTATTCTGCTAATAATTCTGGTAATAAATAAATTTGCGTAGCTGATTCGTTAATGCGTAATTCTATTAAGAGACTACATAGTGATACATGGAATGATTAATTATGAATTTTCCAAAGCCATACTCGATGTTGCATTTTTATTGGCAATTAACAGTCGCGACTTTGATGAGTTAACGTGAATAAGCTTCATGCACGTAGATTCATACAACTGTTATATAGATCCTTTTGCGAGCAACACACGTAAGTACTATGGTTCATTTGTTGCAAAGCACGTTTTCTTAGTAGTAAACGAACAATAGTGCCAATTAAACACTTATGACAAACGCAAAATGTTTCATAGATTTAAGAACATTCAGCAAGCAGTGGATTGAAAGTAACAAAAAAGCGGTAGCACAGGAAGTACTTCCTTACAGTCAGTATCATATGAAGTTCCTGCTGATTCAAAGCCTGAGCATTACTAATAAATTTGTAAATTCAGTAAGTGAATGAACAAAATAAGTCGAGAAACAGTTGCTCGGCATATCTGACCAATGGGTTTTATTGCTCGTTATTGCGTATCGATCAGCTACTTCGTGTCGATTTCACCGCGTTGCCCATTGGCACAGACAACTGTACGATGAGATGTTCACGTCCACAGGGCAGTTCAAACTATTCTGCCAACTAATCTGACCTGCCCAAGCTTAACATCTACAAGGCAAAAGCGGTGGGTTGCCTGCTGGTAGAAAACAATGCACAACATGGATACAAATCGCTGAGACAGATCTGCAGGAGGATATGAGGAATATGACCTTTGCCACAGTAGTGAAAGTTGCCTGATATCAACCTGAGGTGCTATTTTTAAAGGTCAGATGAAGTCTTGCAAGCCGTAGATTGTGATGGCGAAACAACATTATGATTGCAATGTTACAAATGTTTTCAAACAGATCTTTCAATAAACTGTTTTACAAATACAATACCATGTATTTGAACATTTCTGGCAGTGCCTCAGATAGATTTGATATCTGAGTGAAGTAGCTGATTAAGCAGATAATGCCTGACCAGCTGCCAGCCACAGTCTTTGTCGTGTCTATTCCGAACTACGTCGTTACCAAGCTGAAACAGATTCTGCTTTCAAATCAGCTGCCACTGTAGAATTTCAAGCTGTTTGGAGTAATTCTCGCGTGCTAATAGCAAATTTAGCAAAAGCTATAAGAATTATATTGTCGTCATGGCATTTGCTGGATAATTTGAACCGCGATTAGCGCCGCTTCGGTGATGCAGTTTCGTTTGTTCGTCTCTGAGCTTGCATAGTCACAAAAACATGCATATCGGAAAACTTTCCGTTTGCGATCTCTTTCCCTGCTGCTTCGAACAGGCCGAAACATCAAGAGGGTGAATCCTGAAGGTTTGAATCGACGAAACTCCACGTTACTCAGCACTTTCCTTTTGTTCACAAAATTAACAGTAAAATTGATCATCTACATGCTCCCATGAAGAAATTTCGTATCCGTTCAATGCGTACACCACTGCTAAGCGAAACTAGAACCTTAACAAAGAGAACCGTTTTTCAAGATGAACCGAAGAACTAACCATCAGTTATCGTTAAAACGGCAGATGTTTGGGAAGATGATGATTCATTCATGTTTATACTGCTTTATTGCAAATAACGAAGTAGCTATTCGTTTCATATATTAATTTTATGAAATGCATGAAACTTGACTTTCTATGCGTTAGTTATCATGAGGTTAAACACACAGAAACAAAATTGAATAGCCAGTAACTAAATTGACACTAACATTTGGGCTAATTCGTAGACCCTGAAAGTAAGAGTTTCTGCAATTACTCATTGTTGTTGCTAGCAGCCAGTTTTGATTTTCTTTTGAATCTGAACGGCAAGAGGCTGAGAGCAACTGCATGCCATCGGCATTACCTCACGTGGTGCATACAACAGTGGATGTACAATATTGATAAAATAGACGAACATTCTTACTTCACGGCTTAAGTACGTCTTTCAGAATAAGGATTCTGTCTGATACTGACTTCAAACCTGCTGGGGGCCATTAAGGAGCGAGACAGATGAAGAATAGCAAATCTGGAAAGTTCTGTATTGTCGCCGGTGTGCAAATGAAGCTAGAGAGTCCTGTAATGTATGCAATGAGCGTCTGTTAGCCATACCTTTGTGCAATAAATGGTCTTTGTTGTTCAATATCTTGTTGGCGAAACGCATTGCTCTAGAAGTTACAGTCTCGATCAGCGATGAGACAGTATCATGGAAACGGATTTCACTAGCTGTAGCTAGTGACTTAATGTAATGGCGTCAAACTGTAAGATCTCTTGCACTCTAGGCCCCAAAATATACAGGAGCAGCGTAATTAATCGTCGGGATAATGCCGCAACGCACAATCCAACAATAATTCCGTTTGGAGAGCCAGGAAGGCGTCGAAGACGTATCATGTAATAGAGTGACTCCGAAAAGACATTCAACTTCGTTATTTTTGCAGTTTATCTTGGTAACAGACCGTGTCAGTATTTTTCTCTCAATCATATAAATCCTTCTCATGCTTGCAATCATTGCCTGCCTTGTAAAACTTTGACAGCTCCCTACCGATTTTACTATAAATGCATTCGCGCGTCAATAAGCGTTGAAGTTGTGAAAAAGATCTCTTGCTGTTTCCAGCTTCTAATAAATAAGCATTTTCATAATTCGCTTCAATACGACAAGTTGTTGACCAATCAGGCATAAAAATTAAAATGCAAATTCGAAAGAACAATTCAAACAGGAAATATAAACTGAGTTACGAGCGTAAACTATATTTTTCTTACCTTGCTATATTTGTTGTTTGTCACCAGCATACTATGCTTAACTGACGATGGTACGCAACACTGAAATCCCGATGCCAAGTAAATGCTAATGTAACACAGGATATCTGAGGATAACAAAATTGTTTAAAAAATACCAGATTTAATGAGTTAAGAAAAAGAAAATGTAGAATTGACATCTCCTTTAGACAAATTAAACTGGATTTCCTTACATCATTTGGCGACTAGAAGCAAGGAACCGGTGCACTTACGCCGATTAAATTCGATATAAGAAACTGAAACGCTATGAGAACCGGCAGAATTGGAAAGCTATTATGTAGCTACTTTGGGATATCAAAGCCATATGTATGCCATGGATTCGTGGCCCTGCCTAAATGGCCCTCCTATGCAACTAGGGACAATGAGGTAGTTCATTTTCGTCGAGTAAATCCGATGTCAGAAATTAAATGCCACGTCACTTGGTTACGCAAAGAAAGCAGAAAAATCTAACTTCACAGGTAAACAACGCAGTACAAAGATACGACCAGGACGCAAAGTGGTGCCAAGTGAAGAGAAATAAAGATCAACACAAGACAGTAAGTGCAAATCGCTTATGAGTGAAAATGGTTCCAAAAATAAATGCCGCATGACAATGTCGAATATTGTATGAGTCGATGTCAGTACATTGTTACGATCTGGACATGCACCAGAGCAGACTTGACGTGAAGACTACGAGTGACGTACTCGATTACTTTTCAGTTACTCGCCGTCGCCAATGCTTGCTGATTTTTATCCTCTGAATGAATATGGAGAAGAATGGGAATGTAGATAGCGAAGAACGCAAGCTGTTATGAATTTTATATCATCCAGCATTGAACACGGGCTAAGAATATCACCATTGATTATTTTGATGTTTGTTCAAGAAGCGCTACAATTAAACGGTCGAAATGGGGTGGCGACAGTGTCATTGCAAATGAGATGTGAGATGTTGTGATTGTAGAAACGTGACGTCGTAAGCGTACGGGAATTTGTTGAACTAAAGTACTTACAAAGAAATCTGAAGAACGTATGTTGATACTTTTATTCCGTACAGATGTACTCTCGAAGCAGTTGGCACTTCTGGTGCACTACACGAAAGGAGCACAGATTTTGTACGTGTTCAAGGGTTTATTCCATGAATAAACTGGTATATATCGCCGGTCGCCTTCAACTGTTCCAACTTACGATTGACCAATTCCATTTTCATCATGTTGTTCAAAATGTTTGCCGCGTGCAGTAACGTTCCACCGATTAAGCCAGTGTTGTCAGTTCTTTTGGGTAGTGGTGCATCCGTCACAACTCTGCCGGCTGTGCGGCAGTTTCTGCACGGCTCGGAGACGGTGTCCAGCAACGACCCAAGAAATTCCTTCTGCTGACCTACACTGCTTCGAACAAAATTTCTTAAAACGGACAAAAATGTTTCATCACCGTCGTCTTCGCGCTGCGGTTTGCTGCTTAGCGACCGCGGTAGACACAGGCAAGCGCTCACCAACAGCATCGTGACCAGTACCCGGTGGTAAAACATGCTTTCGAGTATTGAGTGTGCTATAAGAGAAAGCTCTTAGCCAAATGATCTGTGCGCTAACTCAATCCCAATACAAAATGTTGTAATCCTTCATCGCAAGGCACTGTCACACTGCACCTCCGCAACCCATCACACGATTTTAATAAATTATTAATTTAGCAATTAGCATATGAATGTACTCTAACGGTCTCGGTTAAAACAGTTTATACGACAACATTTTTAGATTCTTGACATGAACTGATGCCAATTTACTCTCATTTTCAATGGATTAGAAACCTATATTTACCTAAGAGCAAATATGTGAAACATGTTGATAACCGTTTTTGATTAATTTAGAAAATTAACAATTCGTAATAGAGTTTTAAAAATGAAGCATATGTTTTATGTAAGGCTAAAATATGTGAGTTAAGTTCTTAAGCAGGGCGTCTGCAGGTAAACATTTTATCAATGCAAGGATATGTTTCGAGTTATGCTATTCCCGGTTTCGGTAGAGAGCAGCATCAATGACCGGGATTTCTCAGTAAGTAAAACGTCTGACTCAAAACCGAGAGGTCTCGGATTCGAATTCCGGTTGAGAGTTGATGTTGATAAATACCACTTTGAGAAAACAGGAAGAAACTATACACTATGCTTACCACAATGCTGCTGTCGATTTTGCCTTTAAAATAAGACAGTACTGACTGGTAGCATCGAAATAAAGATCAGATCAGCGTCCCATCATTAACGTCATGAAAAGAAGGGCGCCAAAAATTGCCCAATCATAAAAGTGTAAGGAGGACCAACCTTGCAACAGTTGCAATCTTTCCATTTTTTCTTCCTTAAACAGTATCATAACTTATCAGTTGTGACTGCAAACATAAAACTCATGAGTCTCATGTAGTTCATGAGGTAAATGCAAACTCTACGCTGAAAAATCTTCACTTCTTGGGAGACCTACAACGCAATGTTAACAATTTTCATTGCCGCGATATATCATCTCTGTTGACTAAGTTCACCATCGATCAATGTTCTCTAAAAGTCCTTTCCATTTTGGCATTGATCTCACAGACGCAACAACAAACTAAGCACTGGAATGAACATCAGTGCCAGAGCAGTGTGTTATATAAAATTGCATTTCGAAACGGTGAACACGAGTTTAACGTTGACTTTGAACCATCGGCTAATGAGGCAGCAGCAAGTAGGGTCTGACGGATTCTCTGATGTACCGAATTCAAGTTATTCTTAAAAGTCATGCTACGACCTCAGCTCAGTATAGAGGACCTAGGACTAGCTGCAATATGTTTCTGCGAGGAGAGCACGGTTGGAAAATGTCGTTATTTTATGGGCAAAAGAAAACATTTGAATTCAAGTAGACCACCTAACAATCTGAAACAGGACATTTCTTTCATGCTGTTCAATATCTAAGCCTACTTGTCCATAATTAAAAACAGATATGAATGAATAATGCATGCTAATAAAATCGGATGAAAATCATCTGAATGGCCCCAGACGCAGAGTTTGGCGAAAAAACTTCTCACCTTCAGTCTTCAGAGGTCTTGCAGTATTATTTCCGTGAATGGTTGCTGTTTTGTTTCACACACGGTGACTCATCCTAAACTGTCTACGCCGAAAAATGACCTTCAAATACAGAACCATGGCAAAAGGCGATTTTCATATTAACGCTAGGATATTTAAAATCATGGAGTAGTAGGGTCAACGCAGAGGAACCGCAGGCTCATGAAAAGAAGTTGTATCAGACAACTTGGCGTTTGGAAGTACTAGCAGTTCTCGAAAAAATGTTGTCAAAGGGATCTAGGCACTGGTTTTAGATTAAAATTTACAAATAGTTTATTTAATTATATTTTGCATTTAACCATTTAATTGGTTTAGTTAAACCTGATGTGGTTATTCTCCCGTTTCTTGGTTTACAAAGTCTGCTCTAGTGTCTGAGTCATGGTAGCTCCTGATTAATTTTGAATATTTGTGGTATTGGGGCAAGGGTGAGGTTGCAAAAATATAATAATGAGTAATGAGTTTATAGCCAACAACGTGAGTTCAAATAGCCTGCATTTTTTGTATACATGCAACTAAGTGCCTCAATTCTACGATTATTAGTGACCCCTTTAACCAAAATTTAAACCGAAATATCCATTCTCAGACGTCCTCTGAAGCTTGGAGAAAACATGAGCAGTAAATGTAATCAGCTCTTTCCACCGAAAGCAACTTTGCCTTCTCACTATTAAGTATCCTCTGTTTTCAGGCATGCAGACAATCAATTTAACTAAGGCCTAAAACAACATTGGCTTTCAACGTGTCACGAACGACATGTGTTTCTGTTACGACTACGGGGGAAGAAATGGGTAATTTTTTCATGCGTTGATGTTCATGCTGAAAACTGAAAAATGCACTAAAATAGTCTATTTATAAACAACGCAAACGAATAAGTTGGTCATTCGGGTGATTGACCAGTACAAACGTTTCGACTCATCTTTCATGAGTCTTCGTCACACTTGGTTGCGTGGTCCGCAGCTGTTGTGCCGTCTATGTATATTTTATTCAGTGCTATGAAAATGTCGACCCGGTCAGAGGAAACAAACTGTGCATGGATTGGACAAGCCCTATCAAGCCTGTGACCGAAAAGCTACTTAACCAGCAGCATGGGCCAATTGCACATTTTCGAATCCAGAGGCCGCAACAGCTGCGGACCACACAGCCAACTGCAGAAGCCAGCCCCAACTTATTCGTTGGCGTTGTGTGTAAATAAACCATTTTAATGCATTTTTCATCAGAGGATTTGACAATATTTGACGGGTTCGTCGACTGATTAAACGAGAAGCATCACTAAATGGCATTACATGACAAACACATCATTCGGGAATACAGCACGCAGCATGGAAGCGCAAGATTTCCGTTAACTTGCGACATCCAATCAACCGACACTGCAATAATTCAACGCAGAACTGAAAATGTATCGGATATAACGAATTGAATTCGTGTGGCCTCTAGCTGATTATTTAACTGTTAAAACTACAGCATTATCACTATCTTACTTACATATATTGCTCTGTAATAGTCCGTTATTCGCAATCCGACCTTTCCTCATTATAGCTAACGCAAATCGAGACTTTTCCAAGATTCTATATTTTCTGCTCTCTGTCTCCATCTCTGAATAAATAAATTGACCATCGACACCCCAGTGTACTCTTGGACGACCGATTGACATCGGTGGTTCAGCAGAACCGAATTTATAATTCTTGACGTACACTGGTTGTATCTCAGGCGAGCCACATGACCTGCCCGTCGTATCTTTGTATCGTACAAGGCCGCAATTACGTCCGTTAATCCAGTCCGTTGGTTCGACCACAGAAAAAAGATCAAGTATCGGTACTAGCCGATCTCATCGACATATGGAAGTTGCAACGAAGCTATAAGGACTTTCTGATTGGAATCGCTAGCGGTTAAGTCAAAGTCTGAACATCGTCTGTGTAAGATCCGTGACTGAAGCATCACGTGGCAGAAGAAACTAAACGAGGAGCTGAGTCGATGAGGAATCTTTCCTTCGTAAACGCAGTTGACAGCTCCTAATTTAAAAATGCGATAAGTTGAGATGTTCGCATATCACAAATTTCTAGCAGTCTGTAAGTTTT